TGGTACTGGTCCGGTACGGGCGCGACACTGAGGGTTGCGATCCGTTGCCAGTCACGAAAAAAGACAAAAAGACAAAAAAAAAAAAAAAAACTTCACAGAATTATTAGCTATTTTTTTTATTTTTAAAAAAGTATTTTACATGTCTTACAACTACTTCTACACATGTCTTCACATTTATTTCTCAGAAGGTAGTTAGGTATTATTATCCTCATTTTACAAATGGGGAAACAGTCCCAGAAGCACAAAAATTAAGGAGTCTCAAAACAATGGTAGAACTAGGCTCTTAAAAATATAAAACAAAATCCAATCTGTTTTCTTTTCACTCAAAGTATTGTTTGGTAAAATATTAAATTTAATTAAAAGTAAATTGTTAATTTAACTTGGGGGATCCAAATCTGCTTACTGAAATCCCAAATACATGAGTACTTTTCATATAAGCCTATCATCTCTGATTGTCATATGTCTATTGTTTAGGTCAGCTTCCATTATTTTAATGGAATTTGGCTTTCTTACTCATGAGCTATTCATCTACTACTTATTTTTCTAGAGTAAATAAAATAATTCTTGAATGTGAACAAAATAATAAAGCTAAAAAGGTAAAGTTTATGTAAGATGACAATGCTTTCCTCCCCTTCCCCAACTTCTTCCTTTCTCTCCCCCTCCCACTGCTTCTTTCTCTTTCCTGACATCACTAATTCACTGTAAGAAGTCTTTCTTTCTGGGCATGACCTTCCTCTCTTGGTCTTTGTATTCATGTTTTTTCTGGGTCCACCTCTTCCTATTTGAGAAAGGACATAAAGTGCAGAAAGATGGTTCAATTAAATAGCTATTCTATGTTTTATATCCTAACCCATACGTATTTAAAATTTTCTTAAAAAACAGGTTTGCACATACCAATTGAAACATATATTCTAAATTCTGTCTGCTTTAGTACAACATATTTGATTAAATAATGTGATTTGAAAGAGCTCTGTTTTTTCTTCTGTTCTCTGGTAAAGAACATTGTCATCAAATGTTTCTACTATGAATTCTGAATGCATACCTGTCGGAGTTCATCAGCCATGAAGAAGGAAGGTGCATTTGCTTTTGGTTGCATATAAGCAACGTGAGGTGCAGTTGGAGGATAAATATGATAGTTTGGAAATACCTAAAAAGGTAGGGAGGGGGGAAATGTAATGACTGATTTTTCTCCATTGATAAGCTTAATCATTTTTTTGATAAAATTCTGATCTTTATATGACTGATAAATTTTGATACATTTTTAATCTTTAAATGATAGTGAATTAAACACCTCAGAGAATAACTGTTATGAGAATGCTTTCCAAATGAATTCATTTAAAAAATAACGAATGGTAGAATTTAAAAAATCTAAGGAAGAAAATGTTTCTTCAGATATAATTTAAGTTCCAATGAAAAGGCAAAAGTGCTCTTTGGAAAAAATGCTATACACACAGTTCATAGCTATATTTTTGAAAGCAACTGGCAGAGAGGAAGAAAGCGAAAATTAAAGGTGTTTGGGTATAGTGAGCTATTGAAGTAACACTGCCCTGGCTGCCTAAAGAACTGCCTCCTTCATTGGCTTTTTGTGGCCAACCTAAACAAAGTGTTATCTATATACTTGTTAAGTACTTCAAACTGCAACAGTAAAGAGAAACAACTTACTCCAGGTCAGCAGCTGAAGTGAACAGAAGGATGCAATAATACATTTACCTTCCAAGCAAACTACAACAAAGTTACTAAATCTGCTTCCAGCCACCCTTCTTTCATGATTCCAACATGACTCATGCCACCACCCTACTTTCTTCTCTTTTTCCTTATCACTTTTTCCTCTGCTTCTCCTTCCTTTCACTGATCCATGATACAAGATCAAAGCACATTTAAAAACAGCTTTTCTATTTTTTATTCTTTCATTTTAAAAACTAAAACTTTTAATTCTCTCTTTTAAAAATGAATCCAGGCTGGCCATTTAGTTCAATTGGTTAGAGTGTGATGTTACAATACCAAGGTCAAGGGTTCAGATCTCCATGTTGGCCAGCTAACAAAAATAAATGAATAAATGAATAAAAATAAAAATGAATTCAGCTGATTTCTGTTGCCCTTACACAATTATTCTGCTCTGCATTTCAACTAGGAAGTGGTTTTGCACTACTTGTAAGATTTCCTTTAACCTGCATCTGCAGGAAGACTATACTACCTCCTTTTTCTTGCTTTGGTTTCCTTACTCCAGATTGGCTTAACTATCTCAGGTTTGCCACAAGCATATTTTAAAGAGTGGTTTGAAGGGTAAAAACATTATTAAAATGTGCCATATTTAATCTCTATAAAAATGGCTGAGACAGGTTTGTGACAAAAGAACTTCTCTACAGATTAAACCAAATTTCTTTCTAAAAGTATGATAAAATAAAATGTAATAAAAATGCAAATAATTATAAAATGTTATCAACCTCCCCAAAGGGAAAAACACTGATGGAATCTTTACTTGATAGAACCAAGGGAAGTCTCTACCTCAATTATTTGACCTTCTGTTTGGCAAAGTGTTCTATAATAACTTTTCACAGATTTTGGCTCAAAAAAAAAAAAAAACTTCACAGAATTATTAGCTATTTTTTTTATTTTTAAAAAAGTATTTTACATGTCTTACAACTACTTCTACACATGTCTTCACATTTATTTCTCAGAAGGTAGTTAGGTATTATTATCCTCATTTTACAAATGGGGAAACAGTCCCAGAAGCACAAAAATTAAGGAGTCTCAAAACAATGGTAGAACTAGGCTCTTAAAAATATAAAACAAAATCCAATCTGTTTTCTTTTCACTCAAAGTATTGTTTGGTAAAATATTAAATTTAATTAAAAGTAAATTGTTAATTTAACTTGGGGGATCCAAATCTGCTTACTGAAATCCCAAATACATGAGTACTTTTCATATAAGCCTATCATCTCTGATTGTCATATGTCTATTGTTTAGGTCAGCTTCCATTATTTTAATGGAATTTGGCTTTCTTACTCATGAGCTATTCATCTACTACTTATTTTTCTAGAGTAAATAAAATAATTCTTGAATGTGAACAAAATAATAAAGCTAAAAAGGTAAAGTTTATGTAAGATGACAATGCTTTCCTCCCCTTCCCCAACTTCTTCCTTTCTCTCCCCCTCCCACTGCTTCTTTCTCTTTCCTGACATCACTAATTCACTGTAAGAAGTCTTTCTTTCTGGGCATGACCTTCCTCTCTTGGTCTTTGTATTCATGTTTTTTCTGGGTCCACCTCTTCCTATTTGTTTCATGAGTCTTCTCTCTATCACGAGTCCTTTGGTAGCTCTTTCCTCGTATGCAATCATGGTTTCCTTTGGTCTGAATCTTCTCCTTCCTTGGCAATGACCTTTATTGCAGGCCCCTTATCACTATGTGCCACGCTAGATCCAGAGATCTAAATGTTAAATCACTGCCTCATCTGCGGTAAGTTTATCATTGGTTTGCTTTCAGTAACCACTGATAAGATACCATCTACTTTCTATAACTTTTTACTAGAGGTAAAACTATCTATACCTACAAACAAATGCCAACAAACATCGACTCTAGCTAGCAGAAGTACTAGGTAACCCCATAAGCAAAACACTCCATAAAGTATTAAAATAGAGCATGAATATAATCTAATTTCTAATTAAAACCAGATTTCTCCAAAACTAGAGGTTTTTGTAAGGCAGAAATAGATTAATTTGAAGAGATAAGAGGAACAGACTAGAATTCTCACCTAAGTTAGAAAATGAAATACTCACTTTTTCACATCACAATAAAAAGAGCAAGAGGGGGTAAAACTCCTCATTAATAAGAAGGAATTATTATAAAAGTACTTTTTCCTCTTTGATGTACACATACCATTCCAGTCAAAGGTGCTGGAGTTGTATCTGTATAGAAGTAAGTCGTCCCACCGACAGTTTCCTTTTGGATCACCTGACCAGAAGATGGAGTTTGAGAAACAGGATTACTAACAGATGTAGAGGCACTAGAAGGCACCATGTAACTTGCTGGATTTGGAGTGTGACTTCTTCTTCTGGGAGCAGGAGAAGTATGTGGAGTAATCTTGGGGGAATGAAGAGGGGAAGATCCAGCAGACAACGACATTCCTGAAGAAGATATAAAAAATAGTTTCTTAATGAAGCAATAATTGGTTTTAGAGAAAAAAATCTGCAAAATAAAATGCAAACATTCATTTGGAAGAAACATCACCTTTAGCAAATTTTAAGTGCAAAGATAAAGGACATAATTTTCTCTTGTTTTGCTTTAGAGAAAGCTCTGATTAAAGCAAATATAACAAAATTTCTTTTTGCAAAGTATCATTTCCAAATAAATTAGCAAACTTATTGCAATAGTCTCCTCCATATCAAGGTTTACATCAGAAACTTCAATTGTAAGATTCATCAAAAATTTAATAAATTAATTTAATGGAAGAGTGGGAAATAGCAGAACTGAGACTCTTAAAATTATGCCTTTTATAAAAGAAAGATTTTCTTAAAAGGCATAATTCCTTTTCTATTAATAATCATTTAAAACTGTAACTATTAACAATACCACAATCCCTCTAAAATTACAGTATCAGAAATTCAAATTATCTAATGAAAATTTACTAGATTTCTTTCAGCTAAATACAATTAACAAAATTGTCCAAAAAAGAAAAAAAAAAATTAAGTCAGTTGAAATACGTGGTAGCTTAAAAACCATATTTTAAAAATCAAGCAGTATACTGTTTTGATGCCTTTTTGCCTTTCACTCCAGGCATACACTAAAACTGAAAATTTTTTGCAAATGCATACTTTTTAAAATTAGGTCAACTGATACCACTTGTTCTAGCTAAAGTTTTACTCAATCACAACCAATAAAAAATCATTATATGCAGAGCACCCTCTACTATGAATCTACTGTGGAGAAGAGGAAAGGACAATTGTCTTTACCCTTCAGGAAAGTCCAAGCTAGCTGAGAAAATAAGACCAGGTCACATGTAAAAGACATAAAATGACTTAAAACACTCAAATATAAATTAATATACTGCCAAGTACATGCATAAATGCAGATAAAATGTAAATTAATTAAAACCAGGCAGAGTTAATCAAAGGCTTAACGGAAGTGATCAGTTCTGAATAGTGATTTTGAAAAGAACATCTAGAGCTAGAGTTACACTTCCTGAAAAAAAGAGCTTATCCAGGAACAGTTTTTTCTGGCTGTTTGGAGAATGCCTAAAACCCTTAATTAATGAAGTAGTATGCCACTTCACAATCCAAGGAAAAATTACCAGAATGCTTCTGGTCACAGATCTATGATTAACAGAGATATAATTTCAATTTCTAATAATTCCTAAGATACCAACATTTATGCTTTCTGAAAATATGTGGGTGAACAAAAATAAGCTAGGAACTAAGATAACACATCTTTTCTTTGGATAGACCATCGTACTTTCTAAAGAGCATCAACATGATTATTTCACCTGATTTTCTGAGCAACTAAGTAAGGTGCACTGGTGAAGTGAGTCAGGTTATAAATACCACAGTACAGATCAGAATTTAGACACAGTGAGGTTATGTTATTTAAGCAAGGACATAGGTACAAAGTCAACAGCAAAGTCTGAACTTGAACCCAAGTCTCCAAATTCCCAATCTAGTACTCTACTGCTAAAATACAATGTCTACTGCATTGACATTAAAATAGGCCAAGAATTCTCAAGTATGTCTTAAATGTTTCTAAGAGAAATTCAAAAAACCTAGAATCCTTTCTAAAAAAACAATGTTTATGAAGAAGCCAAGTTACTACATTAAGACATAAGTCTAATATTTATTTTTTTAACTGTTCCAGAGTTCATAATTCTGTGACCAGAAGCATTCTGGTGTTGACCTAACTTTATATTATACATTTAAATGTAGATTAATACACAGCAAAAATTGTGAGATTAGACTATTTTCAAAAGATAAATACTCCCCACTGATTTAATATGAAATGCATTTAAATCATCTTTCCTAAAGCTAGTCTCTAAGCCTTTCCAAGATAAAACTGGCCAAGTGCCCAATGATGACTAAATTTGTTTACTACCTTTACATTAAGCAACAGCAACAAATATAACTACATTCTTGAGCACTTTCCATGTGTCAGACATTAATGTAAGTGCTCCACATGCACTGATCTGCTTAATCCTCATGACCACCCTGTGAGGTAGGTATTACTATATTCACTACACAGAGGAAACTAACTTAAAGATCAAAAGAACTGCTGTAGGAACAATTGTTAGGTTATTATGAGACAAAGGGTATAATTTCTCTATAAGGCTAATACAAGGAAACAGATTACCAAAAACAATCTAAAGTCAGTTAAGTAGGAAATTCATAAATAGCAGAATTTACACTACAGAGTAACAATATTTCTCTTTAAGAATTCTTAATTTTGTGCAGTTATTTTAATACAAAGTTGTAGCACCGAAATTTGAATTAATATATCTGAGCTGAGGCTGACTGAAGTTATTTAAATACATTCAAAATAAAATATCACCACCCATAAGGACAACAGGGTAATTAAACTGTACAAGAAGGTAGAAATGAAATGAACCACTAAATTACTGAAACACCAAATCCAGTGACAAAGGGCACAGCTTTGTGCCACTTGCATATTTTACAAACGTGTCAAAGGACTGAGTAAAATACCCACGTTTGTTTGGAGAGAGGTATTCTGTACTTAGTAGTAGACAATAACCATGACATACCCATTATTAAGCGCCTACATACTACCCTAAATTATAAATAGCATAATGTAAGTAGAACCACTCTACAGAAATGAGTAGCTGAAAATAAGGGTGCTGGATTAAAATGAACAAATTCTGCTCAAAGCAAGGGAAGTTGGTTCAAAGTTAAAAATGACATCTTCCATTGTACATTATTTAATGTTTAACCACAGGAATCTTTTCCTAAAAGGGTTTTGGGAATCCATTTGATATATATATATTTTTTTTCCTTTTTGTCTTTTTTCGTGACCGGCAACGGATCGCAACCCTCAGTGTCGCGCCCGTACCGGACCGGGACCGGCCACAGGATCGCAACCCTCGGTGTTGCTCCCGCCCCTCGCTCAGCCAGTGAGCGGCTGGTCTGCATGTGGGATCCCAACCCTCGGCGGGAGCGCCACCGCGCTTCCCAAGAGGCGCACTATAGCAGTGCGCCACCGGGCCGGCCCTTTGATATTTTTTTTAAAAAAGGTTTTCTATTAGTAATGATGCACATCAGATACACTATAATAGTAAAAGTTCATTCTTCATTAAAAATTTCATGTCTCTCACATGTAAATAATCTCTCATAATTTGTAACTTTCCCTATATGGGAGAGAAAGGGCTATTGGTTAACACCCTGATATTGACTGGCACTCAGTCAACAGAACACTAAAGCAAATATAGTAACACACGGAAGGTCAGCTTACGAGACAATCTAGAAAAATAAAAATCTGTATTTAAAAAATTCTAAATCAGGAATATTCCACTTTTTAATTTTATTTTTTATATTACTTTCTGTCATTTACTATTAGAATGACATTTTGGTGGCATCGCATATAAAAAAATTATAGCACTGCAATTTGACTCCTTATTAAGTGGATATGCAAACTGAAATATTTAAATCACATATCAAAAATTAATTGCTTTAGGAAATTTGAAAAATGCTTCTTAAAAGTACCCAATTCAAAGTGAGGAACAATACAGGAATGCCCACTGGAGGAATTAACCAGAGCAACAAACAAAATACAAAAATGAGATATAAAAATTTCCAAGGCTAATTTATGGAGGCAAAGGTGTCATTGTTTTTGAATGACATGATTCTATTTCTGAAAAACCCAAGAGAAACAAACAAACAAAAAGAACTCTTATAAATGACTCAAAATAGGGCCGAGCCCGTGGCGCACTCGGGAGAGTGCGGCACTGGGAGCACAGAAGTGCTCCCACCACGGGTTCGGATCCTGTATAGGGATGACCGGTGCGCTCACAGCGCTCACTGGCTGAGTGCATTGCGGCCAGTCTCAAAAAAAGGACAAAAAATAAATAAATGACTCAAAATAAAAGTATATGTAATTAGTCTGAGATAGGTTAAAGTCAAAGTGTAACTAAAATTCTAGACAACTGTAATACTGAAAAAGAACAGAAAGACTCGATGTCACTAAAAATTCTTGTATTAATGATTTTTCCAGGCTAGCTGGTTAGCTCAGTTGGTTACAGCACAGTTATAACATCAAGGTCAAGGGTTCAAGTCAGCCACAATAAACAAACAAACAAACAATAAATAAACACATAAATAAAATTTTACTGACCATCTTTTCTACAATTTCATACTCAGTAAAGCATGCATGGTAAAAATCTAGGCATGATCACTACATAAAACAGAAATATAACAGATAACATTCAATATCTACTACATACCATATACAAAAAATTATCTCAAAATGGGCCAAAAACCTAAATGTAAGAAGTCCATAAAACTTTAAGAAAACATAGTTATAAACCTTCGAGACCTTCAGTTAAGCAATGGTTTCTTCAAATATGATATGTAAGAGATAAGTAATCAAAGGGAAAAAAAATTTAAGTTGGGCTTCATCAAAATTTAAAACATTTTATACTCTATAGGAAACTACCAAGAAAGTGAAAAGGCAACCCAAAGAAAGGGAGAAAATATCTGCAAATCACATACAGACAGTCCCTGACTTAACAATGGATTGACTTAACGATTTTTCAACTTTTAAGATGGTGTGAATGATACGTATTCAGCAGAAACTGTACTTCAAACTTTGAATTTTGATCTTCTTGGGCTAACAACATGCGGTACAATATTCTCTTGTGATGCTGGGCAGCGGCAGTGAGCCACAGCTCCCAGTTAGCCACATGATAATGAGGGTAAACAACTGATACTCTACAGTGTACTGTGTGGCCAGCATTTTTTGGATACTGCATTTTGTGCTTTCACATCCCATGATGTCTACAAAATGCCCATTTTTGACTTACAGTATTTTCAACTTACAATGAATTTATAGAGACATAACCCCATTGTAAGTAGAGGAGCATCTGTATTCAATAAAGTTATAGTATGCATAAAATAAAAAGAACTCAACAA